TTTTCACAATTACACTTTCTCAAAGGTTTTGTAAAACTTAATGAAATATAGCTTGATCTCAGGTCTAAACTACTGTACACTATATTAAAAAATGAATGAGAAGCTAAAATAGCCCAAAGACTTCGAACTGTTTAGCTTCTCTGAATTTTTTAAGTGTATAGTAGTTTAGACCTACGTTCAAGCTATTTCAAAAATTATATCCAGACTTTTAAGTGTATATTTAGTAAATTACTAAATACAAATACAGCGAATATATTAAATTTTTCAATCGTTCTTGTACTATAACAGTACAAGTTGTAGTTGTAACTTAATGTTGTACATTGAATAGTGAAAATGATCCTAGGTTCATCCTAGATTCATAATATTCCAGCATTTTTCGCTGAATTTTCATCACTAAATAAAATTATTCACCATAAAACTGAATTTTAATCCTCGCAAGCACGTTACAAAACAGTAAACCTGAAAATATGTTTTACCTGGAGAAACGTGCTTGCGCTTCTTTTCACTCATCTGCCAAAGTGTTGACTCTCACACTATCGGACCACGTGACAATAGCAAAATTTGCACGTTACAGAATCATCCAAAACAAGGTAGCTAAAAACCTAAAATAACGTAATATCAAATATTAACACTACTGTTTTTAAGAATAGTAGTTACTGTTAGACCCAAATACATCCTCGAAGCTAATACAGAAACATTAGATTTGCTATTCCTCTTTTCAAATCAATCTGCGTTAAAGATATTATAACTATTTATTATCCTTAAATGAGCCCTCTAGTGTTATAACTCAATATCATAATCATTTTATAGGTGAACTTTTGAATTTTTTTTTGTGTGTGTGTAAAATATTTTATATTTTGACTAAACTTTTTGGTGCTCCTCAGTGACTCATTAGTAAGTCTGAGGACTTATATTACGAAAAATCGGATTTCATAATCACGGTGGGCAAAGCACAGATAACACATTGTGTAGCTTTGTGCTTAACAGCAAACAAACCATAGGTGGTTTGTAGGTACTTGTTACTTAAAACTGAAGAAATTAGACAGTTTCATAGAGTGATTATAACACAGTCAAAACATTCATGCCAGCTTAACAGTTTCATGAACAAAAGCGTGCGTTTCTAATCTGATATTAAATATAAATTTTTCGGAGAATGGCGGTAATTGCCAAGATTCAAAAGATTTAATGAGGTTGTTATATATTTTTTAAAGTTGTAATTTAAATGCTAGCTAGAGAGCGCAGAAAGTTCAATTGTTTTAGTAAATTTGAGGAGTAGCTTATAAATACAAGAGGCAGCGAAGCATAGAGTAGAGTTGTTTTAGTCATTAGATTTAAACATCTAGGGAGTACTTTTGTTTCAGCTAGCGTTGAATCAATCGATGTTTTGGTTTCAGTTACCTGATAATCAACCATGAAATTGTACAAGTAAGCTTATTTTTACGTTGTCGTAGTACAGTTAGCATAGCTGTGAACGTGGCCTAAAAGTCACCATATTGTTACGACAGCGGAAGTCACGCGACGCTGGGAGCATGCGCGCTGGAGTTTCTCGAAGGATCATGAATTTTCCTGGCAACTTTA